ACCTGTCACCAGAATCATGTTTTTCTCTGAAACATCATCCTGCTTCTTGCCCAAGATGATTGGCAAGGCAGTGTCAGGATCTCTGGACCTAAATGTTGCAAAGCTCTCTTTTCAACAAGGTTGAGCCCACTGTTCACAACCTTTGTGACCAGATGGTGGAGCTGTGGAGTCGGAAGTGGGTGTTTTCAGCCTAAAGCTGCAACTCTTACTGTAGCTACTTCTGACATTTTTACATGTGGAGCAATAGACTATGTGATTATCTCAAGTCAAATCACATTTGTGTGGTGGCGATAAATAATCAAAAGTCTTTTATAGCAATTGACTTGGTGAAAACATGGGCGTTGACATTGAGGGACTTCTCGGTTTTGGAACTTTCCTTCTGGAGTCCTGGTTGATTTATGTTCTCTGTTCATCTGAGCCCCAAAAAGCATTAAAGCTGATATTTTGCACAGTCAAAAGTGTACACTGGATGGGTTGTCTTCAATAAAGTACGAAGGGCAAACCATTGTATTTCACTGACCAGGCCTTTATCTTAGCCTCTCAAGTACTTACAGAAGAGGGTCATGAATGACGAGTCCCCACACTGTTCCCTCCTTATATCCACCACATCAGTCCCCAGATTTATCATAAGGGAACTCTGTAAAGATATCAAGGACTACTCATATGCAGTGGTTGAAGGCCAAATTGACAAATTCTTGTAAAGATGGTAGACTAACATTTACCTTTGCCCTGAGCTTGGGTGGATATAGTCAACCTCACATTCACAAACATGTGGTAGCACAAGTAAAAGCCGCCAGAATTCTTTAAAAATTATATAATTAATACTTGCAATGATGGAAAATTTATTCCAGTTAAATGACACTTCATGTATTATTTTAAAGTGTTAGGAACACTCCTATACAGAAATTCCTGAATATGATTCAGAGCATATATGGAAAGCTAGCAGCCATCATTATACTTAATGGTGAAAGAGTAAGAGCTTCCCCCCTTGAAATTGGGAACAAGACAGGGGTGCCCACTCCTACCACTTCAATATTGTATTATAAGTCTTAGCCAGAACAATAAGATAATAAGAAGAAATAAAACGTATCCAGATTGGAAAAGAAGTAAAATTACCTCTATTCATGGATAATATGATCTAATATATAGAAAATCCCAAAGAGTCTACAAGAAAATTCTAGAGCTAATAGAGGAATTTAGTAAAGCTTTAGGGTAAAAGGCCAACAAACAAAACTCAGGTGGGTGTCTATACAGCAGTAATGAGAAATCTGAAAGGGAAATTGGGAAACAATTCATTTATAATAGGATCTAAGAGAATAAAATACTTAGGAATAAATCTAACCAGGGACATAAAGAACTTAAACAAAACTCTAAAACATTGCCAAAAGAGATTGAAGAAGACTTCCATAGATGGAAAGATCGTCCACGTTCATGGATTAGAAGACTTAATATTGTTAAGATATCAATACTACCCAAAGTGATCTATAAATTCAGTTCAATTCCAATCAAAATTCCAACTGCTTTCCTTACAGAAATAGAAGAACCAATCCTACACTTTATGTGGAATGGCAAGAGGTCCCAAATAGCTAAAACAGTGTTGAAAGAGCATAGTGTAGGAGAATTTACACATCCTGATTTTAAAACATAAAACCTAGGGAGGGGTCATTATGAGTCAGTGGCAGTGAGTTTTTTGGTATACAGCTGTAGTCATCAAAACAGCCTGGTTTGATAACAATAGACACATAGATCACTGGGATAGAATCAGGAGTCCAGAAATAAACCCTCACATCTACGGTCAACTGATGTTTGATAAGAGTCCATTTGATAGCGAAAGAAAAGTCTCTTTAATAAATGGTGCTGGGTTGTCAACCAGTCAGAGGGGGATTTATGTAGGAGATGGTGGACAGAGTGGGAGAACAATGTGGAACAAAACTCAAAATCATTTAGGAAAAAAAAAAAAAGGACCAGGTTTGCTTGTCTGGTAGAACCTGCTGGGAGCCCCTGAGACTATGGCCCTTAGCTGCCTTTTAGGTCTAGAAGTGGCTTCCAACCAAACGAAAGATAGGCATATGAGCTGAACATTTACATTAGATAGATACACTCCTTGGAGAGAACAATCATGGGAGAATAGAAGTTGTATATGCAAAGGCAGACAGCTCGTGGGGCAGGACTACATAGGAGGTAAGGACACAGGGAAGAGGTGGCTGTGGGGAGGAAGTGGGAGGAGAGCTGTCGCATTGTGGGAGATTGCAGTCAACGTCAGACAAAGTGTGAATTGCTGTTTGGAAGATGAATTTGCTCTGTAAACTTTCACCCAAATTACAATACAATTTAAAAATAAATAGTACTGGGAAAATTGGATTTTCATATGCAGGAAAATGAAACAGGATTCATGCCTCATACCGTATATAAAACAAATTCAAAATGGACTAAGGTCCTAAATGTGCAAACTAAAACCATAAAACTCTTAGGAGAAAAAGCAGATACAACACTGTCAGGCCCAGCTTTCAACAATGGATTCTCTAATAACAAAAGTACAGACAGCAAGAGACTTAATAAATAGATGGAACCTCATAAAAATTAGAAATTTGTGTTTATCAAGCGTTTACCAAAAAAGTGGAAAGAAAAGCTACTGCCTGGAAGAATATTTCCAGAAACCATGTATCTGTTAAAAACCTAAAAACAAAAATAAAAATAAAACTTAGGCAACAATAATAGACAAAGGACTTGAATAGACCTTTCACCAAAACAACAACAAAAAAATAAACCCACAGCCATCTGGTCGATACCAACTCATATAGCAACCCCCATTGGGCTTCCAAGGGGGTAAATCTTTACAGAAGTAGATAGGCCAGTCTTGCTTCGGCAGAGTGGCTGGTGGGTTTGAACCACCAACCTTCTGGTTAGCAGTCAGATGCCTTAGGCACTGTGCTACCAGAGCTCCTTAAAATGATCACTAAACACATGAAAAGATTCTCAGCTTTATTAACCATTATTGTTGTTGTTATGTGCTGTAGAGTCAGCCCCAAGTCATAGCGACCCTTCCTTGGGTTTCCAAGGCAGTATCACTACAGAAGTAGGATTGCCCAACCTTCCTTCTGAGGAGTGGCTGGTGGGTTTGAACCGCCAGCCTTTTATTAACCATTGTTGTTAGGTTGTTGGTATATGCCATTGAGTCGCCCCGACTCATAGCGACCACTTGGGTTGCTGAAACAGTATCACTACGGAAATAAATTGTCCAACCTTTCTTCCGAGAAGTGGCTAGTGGGTTTGAACCGCCAGTCTTCTGGTTAGCAGTCAAGTGCCTTAGGCGCTATGCTACCAGAGCTCCCCTTATTAACCATTAGAAAGATGCAAATCAGAACCACAGTGAGGTACCATTTTACTCCCACTGGGATGGCTAAGATTAAAAAATAATAAATATTGACGGTATGGGGAAATTGGAACCCTTATCCATTGCTGGTGAGAATGCAAAATGATACATAACCAAAACCAAACTCATTGCCGTCAAGTTGATTCGAGTCATAGCGACTCCTCCTTGGGTTTCTGAGGCAGTATCACTATGGAAGTAGATTGCCCAACCTCCCTTCTGAGGAGGTGGGTTTGAACTACCAGCCTCTGGTTAGCAATCAAATGCCTTAGGCACTGCGCTACCAGAGCTGCCTCAAAATGGTATAGCTTTGTGTAAAACAGTGTGGCAGTTCTTTAGAAAACTGAAAATAGAACTACTATATGACCCAGCAATTACACTTCTAGGTATATACCCAAAAGACTTGAAAGCAGGTGCTCAAAAGGAGACTTGTATCTCAGTGTCCAATGCAGCACTATTCACAATAACCAAAAGGTGGAAACAACCTAAATGCCCATCAGCAGGTGAATGGATAAGCAAAATATGGTACATACATGCAATGTAATGCTATTAGCCGGTAGGAGAAACAGTCTGAGTGAAATAAGCCAATTACAAAAGGAAAAATATCGTGTATCCTCACTTACATAAAAAGACAGGAAAAGGCAAATGTATGTAGACCAAAGTTTATCAGGGGT